TCAGGACCAGGAAGCAGCGTTGTGCTCTCCATCAGCCCTCGTGTCTAAACCTGCTGTGTGTTGCTGTCTGTGCAGGAACGCCCCAGCTGATGCTGACGGCGGGCCCCAGCGTCCCCGTGCCCCCCCAGCAGGCGTACGGCTACGGCTACCAGGCGCCCGCAGGATACGCTCAGCCAGCAGCTCAGCCGGGCTTCGGCTACGGCATGTAAAGACCCCGCCCCCTCCTCTCCGATCCAGGCTGGAGCTACCATCCATCCAACTCCCACAGTCCTTCACCAGACCATTACGGTCCCTCTGCCCTCTTCATGGAGCGGGGGATCGTACCGACAAACTTCTTTTTTTTTGTTGTTGTTGTTTTGACTCTTTTTTTTTTTTTTCTCCCTTTTTAAACTGTCATGAAGGACTCAGTTTTATTTTCTGTTGTCAAAGAAAAAGATTGAATCACAAAGATTAATTTTCTCACATTCCGTATTGACTAGATTAATTTTTCTTATGTCTATTTTATTTGAATGGGAAATGGTTTATGTACAATGGGGGGGTTGTGGGAAGAGCTAGTCCTCTTCTCAGTTTAAAAAAAAAAAAAAAGAAAAGGTCTGTTGTGAAGCATCTGATTTGCACTCTGTAGTGAGAAGAAATTAATGTAGAACCTCTTCCTTTTGATGTGTGTGAGCAGCTTCTTCTGTCCGACTGTAAAATGCATTTAATTATTGTATATTCAGACACAAAAACCGCTAATATGTTCTTCTATATTTGAACATCAGACCGCCGCTTTCATGACAACAACCCTCAGACACTACGTTCTACCAGTCACGTCCCCACACTCTCACTTTAGGGCTGTCTGTCGGAGAAAATGCCAGAGAGTATTTTCCATACGATTTACAGGAAAGTGCGATTCTTTCCGGCAAAGCCTATGCAGAACTCTCCAGACAAATGTACCTTGAAGAGACATTTCCGTGTGCTTTACGTTCTGCTCTAGCGTGGGACCGTTCCACCTCCGGAGGGACTGCAGACCTGTTTGTGTTCGACTAACATGCCCCACGCCCCCTTCTTTACGCTGCGGTTTGTTTCTGCTGGATATCACTGAGGTCGCTGTTACTGAGCGCGCAGGAGAGATTTTTCAAACCTTCCCCTCCTGGCGTCCTGCCGTGGGTCACCTTTAACCTTCTCAGTCGACCAGCTCGTCCAAATCAGAAACGATTCACAACACTTGTGGGAATTTGAAGTTTTTATCAAAGGCTTGCGTGTATACAGAAAATCAATCATTAACAACTTTGAACTTATATTCTTATCTAAATTACCTTAGATTTAAATTGTGCACTTAAGATACTTGATTGTGCATAATCAGGATCATAATGAATGAAACAGCGGTTTTGTTTTCCACTTAAAAATAAAGGCTTCTTGTTTGTCAACAGCGGTGTGATCGTGTCTTACATGTGCCGGCTTCTAGTTCTTCTGTCTGCTCAGTTTACTGCACACTCAGTCCGGTTTCATGGTTCTGATAGGAGTAGGAGCAGAGTGCAGGAGAAATGCCCTACAGACGGGTGGTACCAGCAATAACATGAGCTGATGAGCCCTACAGTGGGTCTGCTGCTGCTGTGGTTCTGGTCCGTTCACTGCTAATCAATCCGTAGGGCACAGAGGCTCACTGGTTTGATGATGAGGTGATTCATGATGGGCTGCAAGGTGGCGCTGTTGGTAGCACTGTTGCCTCGCAGCAAGGAGAAGGAAGAAGGTCACCGGTTTGCATCTCGGTGAGGACACCCGTGGAGTCTCCATGTTCTCCCCGTGCAGCGTGGGTTCTCTCCGGGTTCTCCGGCTTCCTCCCACAGTCCACAAACATGCTGAGGTTAATTGGTGATTGTAAATTGTCCGTAGGTGTGAATGTGAGTGTGCTTGGTTGTCTGTCTCTAAGTGTAGCCCTGTGATAGACTGGTTACCTGTCCAGGTGAACCTGCCTTCACCCTGAGTCAGCTGGGATAGACTCCAGCCCCCCATGACCCTAGTGAGGATTAAGGTGTAGAGATGATGGATGGATGATTCATGATGTGACCTTCAGTCTCAAGAGCTCAGTGATTGGAGATTTTGTACCAGTGTTAGTCAGGCTCTCCATCAACGTCATCACAACGCCACCTGAGGGAATCTGTTCTGGAGTAAGGCTGTTCATTCCTCTACAGCAGGGATCTCCAACTCTGGTCCTCGTGAGCTACTGTCCTGCAGGTTTTAGATGTCTCTGCACTGCAACACACCAGACTCACATTAATGGATCATCAACAGACTTGTGTAGAACTTGACAACAACTGACAGCGGGTGAGTTGTCATCTCTGAAGAAGGCGAGCGTTGTCGCTGAAACTGTCAGGTAATAAGAACCACACTCTACATGTCTGAATAGAGAACCTGAACATTATACTAGCACATTTTTATTTATTATTACTGTTTTCAGTTTCTAGTTATTTGAGTGACTGTTGTGAGTTTTCCCTTTTCTTTAATGGAAGAGGATGAATACATCTGAGGACGGCTGCACATGAAGCTCATATTTGTAGAGACTGTGAGGTGTTCAACTGGATTGTAGTGAAATACGTTCCTGTAACGTTTCCTTGTGTAGTGATAACCATCAGGACTATAGGACTCACACGGATGTAGTACTAGCGGTGCTGTAGTACCCTCTGCTGGTGCATATAGGAGGGTGCTACAGTTAAAGCTCTGCTTGCTGTAAGCTGCCAGCGCTCATATATTAATGCATTCATGGAATTATAGTAATAAAGTATAAAAATAAACACAACAGATCAGATGTGGCTGTAACTAAAAGGCGTCTTTAACCAATGTCACACATAAATACCAGAATATTTGTCATGGTTTAACAGTTCCTCGCCTGTTTCTGTGGTTTTGGAGGAGAATCAACGGACGTGTCGTTACCATTCAGTCAGGCTTGAGGACTACAAATTTATTACAGAAGCTGCATCGCAAACTGGAGACGTCATGTTCTAGAGACGTGAGAATGGAACATTCAGGGAAACTGTTGAAAGGCGCGTTTAAGTCGTTTCGTAGGAAAGACGGGATTCAGGGTTTTTGGATCTAACTTCTAATCCTCCTCCTTTAGGGAAGTGCGATACTAAATGGCTAAAGTAATCCTTTAATGGAGCAGTAATCCTTATTTATGGTTCGTTTCCAACTAGAAAATCAGAAATGATGACTTCAAATCCCTCATTCTTTTATAATAACAACCATACGGCATCCAGCCTCACCACAAACCTGATGATCACGTAATCAGCTCTGCTCTAAAAATTATTGTTGTAAGAATCACAATTGTAACTGTAATAAAAAAAAAAATCCATTGCTGAGCGCCACACCGTCCTGCTGGCATCAGCCTACAGCCGCTAATAAGGACAGAAACATCAAGCAGTGGACCAATGACAGCACGGCGACTCTGCAGGGACGCTCTGGATCCACAGACCGGGACGACCTCCAGTAACCTCCAGTAACCTCAGTGGACAAGTGTCCTCATCCATCTCCTTCTGTGTGGAACGTATCATCCCCACTAAAACATAGCAATCTATCCTGACAACAGACCCTGGATCAGCAAAGAACTCAAGGGACGTCTCAGCTGAAAGACAGGAACACTCCACTCTGGAACTGAATCTGAAAAAGGTCAACAGGAGGAAAAACGCGCCACAAAAACTGCCAAGCTGAAGGAAAAGATCAAAGTGAAGGAAGAATTCACTGGAGGGAGTCTCGGCTCAGCTTGGCAGGGGATTAAAAACACGGCTGCTGTGAACACCGTCCACAGGACCAACCCGGGAGCAGCCCAGCATCCCTCCCCAACCACCTCACCTCCTTCTGTTCCAACTTTGAGACAGACAGACAGACAGACACCACCTGAATGGATTCAATCATCTCCTCCCTCACGCTGAACTCACCTTCAGCCTGGAGGAGGTGGTGAGAGTCCTCCAGAGGACCAGGGAGAACACAGCACCCGGTCCAGACAACGTCAGTGGTCATGTCCTGTGGAGCTGAGCAGAGCAGCTGGGAGGTGTTTCGTAGATCTATGGACAGCAGCGATGGAAAGACTCAGCTCTGCTCCCCATCCTGACGGAGGGCTGCATCCCCTCACCTCTGCTCTCCATCCTCTGTACTGATGACTGCAGGTCTACACACAGTCTGTCATCTGGTTCAGTAGCCGGTGACACGGTTCTGTCCCTGCTCTCAGGCCCATTACAAATAAATGTTCCCTGGAGCTAAACATGGAGAAGACCAAGGGAGATGGTTCTGACCTTCTGCAGCAACCAGAGGGAGCTGCTGCAACAGCTGTCAGCACAGTCCATGGGATGAAGGTAGAGATGGTGGACGGATACAAGAACCTGGGCACAATGTTTGATCAACAGATTCAGATTTACCTCCAACACTGAGGAGATCCTCAGAAAGTCTCAGCAGCAGCAGCAGCAGCAGCAGCATCTACTGAGGAGGCTCAACACTTGTGGTGTCAGCAGGAACATCTGAGGACATTTTATTTCTCCTACATTGAGAATGTCATTACATTCTCTAGAACCTGCTGGTTTCACTTCAACAGACCCACCTACAGGGTCCTGTCAAGTCTGCTCGAAACCCACCGGACTCCCATTCAGAGCGCTTTGCACCCTGGTGAGCAGCAGACACCGAGGACAGCAGCAGCATCCTCCAGGACGCTCACAGCTCCTGGATGCAGCACTCAGAGGAGGGGAGCAGCCTTTGTTCCCAGGACTGTTCAGCTCCTCACCTCCCAACCATCACTGCCTCCCTACACTGGACCGCCCCGGCTCATCCTGTGTGTGATCCAGACGTCCCATATGCCGTACATCAGACATGTACCTGAACCTCACATTACTTATTCATTCATCCTCTATGTTTCTTAAGGGGACAAATACAGTTTTTTGAGTTGAACTGAACCCAAAGCCGTGTTCCATCAACCTGTTACCTGCAGTGACCTCCAGAGTAGTTCACACTTTAAATATGAAGACTCACCAAGCGCTCATTTTACAATTTATTTTCTTGTATCATGAACAGTACATAAATTGGACATCGTAACTCCTTACTTCACTGTGCTGCAATGAAATCAGCTACAGTGGCACCGTGTCATCATAAATGTTTCTGAGCATCAGAACCGACCGGCTGCACGGAAACTGTTCCCTGTGTTTGTGCCACAGCAAGACGTCACCACTGCTGCTCCAGAATCAGCTGGTTCCTGTTGTGACGAAGTGCACTGGACTGGGGGAGTCGTATAAAAATAGAAACTCATGGGAGCTCAACTTGCAAATATCTGAACAGCCAGGAAATTGTAAATCAGAACTCTAATAGAGCTTCAAGTCTCCGGTGACACTGTCGATCAGATCAGCAGGGCCTGGACCGACGCCCAGCACAGTGCGTGACCCGGGTGCGATTTGTGTCCGTCCTGCATCCTGGATCAGGCTGACAGGAAGCCCCACTTCTTTGGCACGACCCAGCAGATCGATCAGGGCGTCCTCATCGGGGGCCTTCACCACCACCTTGGGCTGCCCGCAGTACTCCCACTGCTTGAGCAGCTCGGGGTTCCTGCGTTGGACCTGCTTGTAGGCGGACACGGCAGCGTGCGAGCACTGGGCAGCGACCTTCCCTTTGCCCATCTTCAGGTCATTTCGGACCACCAGGATCATCTTGAACTCGCCTCCTTCTCCCATCACGCTTGCTTCACCTGCACCGTTCCCCACCGCTGTCATCAGGGTTTTGGATGTCGGCCCAAAGCGACCCCGAACGTGCCAGCCGAGGAGGAGGCCAGCGCTCAGTCCAGCTACGGCACCCCAGCCCAGCGGGCTGTTTAACACGTCCATACTGTCAGAGCTGCAAAAACCACACAACAGATCAGGTCATGGTTGTTTACAGACATACAGGCTTCAAGCAGCAACATCTTTTTAAAGTTGGGGTTAAACATTCATTCTTGACCTTGGAAACGGACAGTGAAAGAAGTCTCAACTAGTCCTGAACAATTCATCGTTTTCAAATAAAAAACACAAACAGAAACAACACAGTGAAGGACGGATGTTCTGCAGCAGGTCTGAGTCGATCCTGGTGTCCTGTGTGGTAACCTCAACACACAGTACATTCAGTGTAACTGTTTCATTTGACTCAACGTCGTCGCCTGCAGGTGTCATAAAAATGTCCACGTAACGCATTTACGATCCTCTGACAGCTGACCTGAAAACTAAAGGGGACAAAGTGTAGAAGGATCCGAGGAGGACTTTAGGAGAGTCACGGATGTCTTTAAGTCCTCTAAAAACAGATTATTATCAGAGAGCCTCTCCTGGTTGTAATCTGAGCGTTATTTTCCTTGGAACTCTTTTCTTTATTCTAACAATATGTTTACCTCTTCAGACACTCTGCTGTCGTTTTGTCTTGACTTGTCTGTTTTTTTTATTGCTGCCTTGTAACTTGGATTTTGAAGGATCCTCTATAAATGAAGATTATTAATGTCTTTATGATCATGTTTAAATCCACATTCTTGTCAGCGCTTAATCAGAATATGAAAAGTTTATTGTTTGCTGACGTGAAATGTTTTTCTTACTCCTTTTCCACTCCGTTTTGGGGAGATGTGTATGAGCGGAGCGTCTGTGTATATTATATATAAATCATATCAGAGCTTCAGGACGAATATTCATTTCATCACTCGTCTGAACTTCAGACTTCATAATGATGAATATTAGCTGTTGAATGTTGAAAGCAGGCTCTTACTGCTAATATCTAACACAGTCATGTTAAGCTGTATTTTCTAGAAGTCTTCTTTAATCCTTAATATTTAAATGACTTTGGTAAGTTCACATAACAACACTACAGCTCTTAATTTCAACATTTAAACCTGTCATCCAACAAAGCCAGTTATAAATCTATTTTTCTACAGGAAACTAAACTGGCTCAACGTCTGTAGTTGTAAATGTATAAATAAGTGACTTGTCGAGTTAATATTAACTTGGTGGGCTACCCAGCTAGTTAGCCACCCAGCTAGCTAGCTAACGAGCTTTAGATCTACAGCTAACCAAGCTAATATTAGCTTCCAGGCTACAGATAAGACTTCATATAAAAATTAAAGCTTCAGTACAGTAGTAATCACTTTTCAGACTAGAGTGACATGTATTCAGACAGTTTAGGGCCCAGGACTGAAGCCAGGTGTCCCGTTTCGTACCTGCTGCCGCGGTCTTCGTGCTGCCGGCATGAATGAAGCGGCTTCTGGTCGCCCGATGATGACGTCACCAATCTACAGCGCTTCAAACATAAACTTATGATGGTATGTTTGTTTGTTTGTTTATTTATTTATTTATTTATTTATTTATTTGAATTTAAGAAGACTGTTCCGTTGAAATAATATTGTGTCACACTGACAACTAATTTTTCAATGTTAGGCTAGAATGTATTTTTTCTTCAAACTTGCTGAATTTAATATATTTTGCTGAAGATGTAAAAATTTAAAATCAGAAAAGACTTGCATCATGTTTGTGTGATTGTGTAGCTGCGTGTAGCTACGTTAAATTCCTGTGGTTCTTATCTTAGGCCATGTGCTTCACAAGGCTCTTCCCTCTCTCCCCCATGTGTCAGCTGACTGTCGGTTTGAACCATTTTAGATGCAAACTTGTATTTTGGCCAAATAACTGGTTACCTGGTGTCTGTAATCGGGTTAGTGTCCTCTCACCCCCAAATCACACAGCTCAGCGCCAGTTCATGACCCAAGACACACATGCATTAACCTCTTAAGACCCAAGCTCTTGTGTGATATACATTTTTTATTAAAATATAAAAAATCTGTAAACAATATATTAAAAAATAAAATATAATAATAATAATAATAGTAATAATAATAAATGAACTACTGTGGTAATATAACCCAAAATGTGATGTCCATGCACGTGGACGCAGGTCTAAAGAGGTCCAGGTATCATGGTGGTGAAACTGTCTGGGCAGGGATCTCTGGACTTCACTAGAAGCACCAGATAACTGGTGCTTAGATCCTCTGCTCTGTGCTGCTGTGCTGCTGTTCCTCTGTCTTCTCTGTCCAGCATGAGAATGCTGCTGTCCTCAGAGGAACGTCCCTGATCTTCTACATGCAGGTGGACTGTTGAGTCTTGTCCTAAGAGGCCATGAGCTTGTTGAGCGGTTCTTTAGTCACCCCGACATGCTGCTTTCATCTCAGTGTTTCTGGGTCAGATGGGCACTGGGATGTTGTGTTTAAAGAAAATCTTTCTAAGTTTCACAAATGCTCCAGCCACATATAACATCAGCAGGTTTTTAGTGCTTCCTTAAAATCTGTTCTCAGTGCAGTAAGGTTCTGATAACCAACAGCTTGTGCTCCAGTGGGTGGTGGGAGTCAGAGTACATATTGTTCCAAGTGTGTATGTTTTTGATAAAGTTCAAAGTTGAGGTTTCCGTCCTCCTCAGCGAGCACAGCGCAGCCAAAAAAAGACCGTTTGTTTACCCAGACATCCTCCCTTATGCTGTTTCCACTGAGCTTCTGTGAAGACCAACTCCTTCGACTAATTCGCTTGAGTTTAACGCCGTCATTTAGTTGATTATAATGTCGTTAGTGACACTGACGAGTGAAATGTCTGCTGTGAAAAAGGTAAATGTGTTCTTTGGCACATGTGCAAATAGTCGGACTGGAAGCAGCAGCCTGCGATTCACAGAACAGTTTGAATTTATTATCACGGACAGCAAGGAAAATCTTCTCATCCCAAAACCCTTCAGCACCACTTGATTGTATTTTTTTAATTTACTCATATCTGGAGTCTGCAGATCCCTGCAGACAGGAGCGTCCATCTCTTTGTCAGAATGGCTCATCAAATGTTAGAAAATCATCTCATAGATGAAACCATGGAATCAGGGAAAAACATCAGTCTAAACTAAAAAGGCTGAGCGGGATGGCATCTTCATGCATCGTTCCACTATTGCTGGTAAAAGTTTTGCTGCAGAGATGCTGATTACAGCAACACCTCTCCCCCGACATTAACCTGGAAAAGGTCTGAACATTTAACAACCAGTGTTACAGGCAGAGTGAGTTAAAGGCACTGTTTTAGGGGAATTAATCTAAAATACTACTCTATGGTTATAACTGTTTGGAGGAGAGGAGAGGAGCCCAGTGCATCATGGGAATCCCCCAGCAGTCTAAAGCTGAAGCAGCAGAACTCAGGGACAGTTCAGGTGATCCTGAGCAACTCTAACTATCAGCTTTATCACAGAGGAAGGTTTTAAGCTTCATCTTAAAGCAGAGAGGGGGTCCGCCTCCAGAACCCAGACTGGGAGCTGATAACTGACGGCTCTGTTAGGATGATACGGTACAATAAGGTCTTTAAGGGAAGATGGAGCTGCTCACTGAGAGTTTAGTTTCATTTAATTTAGTTAGATTTACTTTACTTTGGGGTCATTCCCTCATTATCAGTCTTTCTGATCCACCAACTATTGCATCACAAACTACTGACGTTTAAAATGCTGTCAGTCACATTTTACATTCATATATCAGGTGCTTTCTGAGATAACTGTTGTTTTTTTAAAACTACCCACTGACCCACTTTCAGCACGTATTTCTGTTCACATGGGCACGTTTTTATTTTATTCTGTCAGCTGGAGAAACACAGTGAACTGTTGCCTTATCTTTAGAAAAATACTTTATTTATCCCAGTCTGGGAAATTACTGATCTTTTTATTCCTTATCTTTCACACTTATTGAATTGAATTGACCAAAACCTGTGATTATCTGAACACAACTCCATCCTCTTTTCTTTCATCACAAACAGTTCAGTCACTCTGCTGAGCAGCTAATCCAACAATCAGTCCTGTTCTGTCTCCATGGAGACTGATGCTGACAGTCGGTCTGTCCAGTCGTGTTTCTGAGATAAGGTTTAATTCACTGTAGGGCTGAGAATGTCTGCTCGCTTAACTTAAAAAAAAGCAATACTTTTACGATAAAGTTTTAGCTTGTGCAGGTCACTGCAGACAGGAGCCGCTCGCTTTGGCTGAGCTCTCTGACCGTCCAATCAGAGGACGTGGAAGTGCTGATGTCATCGTAGGCCAGATAGCTGATCCTGGGACCACCAACTCTCAGTCTGTGACCCGGGCAACACATGACGGCTGACATATGATTGGATAAAAGTTCTGATATAAACACACACTGCTGGAGGCACCACAGCCCAGAGACACTATGACATGAAGAGAATAGACTATTAGGAATAAAGTTATAAGAGTAATGGGAACATTTTACAGCGTATGTTTTATAATAACACCGTATGTTATACAAACTGTTTATTAGTTCAGTTCAGCACAATTTAAATTAGTTCAGTCAAATATCGTACAAATATTTCACATTTCATTTTGCTTTCAGCTTGAACACAAAGCTTCAATCACATCTGAGCCTCCAAGACATGACTTTAACATTAACGTAGGATTTAAACTTTGAGACAACACTGCCCTCTGTTGAACAAAGTAGGGATCAACTGCTTCAATTAAAAGATAAACCAATAAAGACTTCCTATAGGTACGATGTCAAAAACACTGTTAGATTGCTTGTTATTTCATATATTGGTCAACAGTTGATTAAACAGAGCTGTGTGTTTGTGATTGTTGTCCCACACTGACGACAGAAAGACGCTTGTTCTGCAGTGAAAACCAGCAAATTCAAATAAACACAAATTCACTTTTGTTGCAGCTTAGAAATGAAAACAAAAACAAGCTAAACATTCAAAACGTCAACAATCTCGTGGATATTCCAAGTCAATCAAAGTGTTAAATAATTTCGTGGCTGACTTTGGTTTCCTCTGTTCAGGCACAAACGATTCCATCTGCATCACAAACAATAAATTGCTCGTTATTCCTGAGCAGTTTCAGATGTTCTCTGTTTGCAGACACAGGAGCAGCGACTCCTCTCCGCCTGCTCCGGCCTCCTCCTCCTGCGTGTCGGGCAGGTGGGCTCCATGCACTTTGTCTGACACGACCGTACGCAGAGCTGACGGGAGGAGCTGCCAGGATCCAGCCTATAGATAGTGTGCTGCTGACACGCTGCTGTAAGCTGAGACAACTGTGCAATGCCACTTGGCTGACAAGCAGCGGAGCAACGAGATGTTTTTGTCCTCTTACAAGTCAAGTGTTCCACGAGATTAAGTCATATCTTCTGTTCTTAGGCAGTGCATGCTGGGATTGATCTCACGGATTAATTAGAGGTCGGTAATCTCTCGCCTCTTTTCTTCCAGAGAAAACGCACCATCTACAAGTTGTTCGTGTGCTGATGACGGAAAACTTTGCCTAAAGTTTAAAAAATAAACAACAATAATACTACTAAAAATAAATAGCTTAACTTCCTCATGTACAGGTATTGAGCAGTTGATCTTCTGTTTATACATCATGCAGCTTTTATCCTCTGAGTCCTGCATCAGCTTCTTCTTGTCTCTTTTTATTTCATGAACTCAATGACCCCCTTCACCCTCCAGCAACATCACAGGTTGAGGAGCGGTAAGACGTCACTGATCCGACTGCAGCGATACGGCCCCTCGGCAGCCGCCAAAGGCTGTGCTTGTCCCAGATATCAACCATGTCTTACGCTTTTAAGAATAATAAAGCATATTTGTTTCTGCTAACTCTGTCCTGGATCTCGCTTGGCCCTCTGGTGAGCGACACAGGAGGCCCTGTCCTCTTGAATCTTATTCCTTCTGCACCTTTTTTAACAAGATCCCAAAAGACAGTAATTCAGAAAATCTGAATCCAATCAGAAACATCTTCCACCAGAGGGAATAGAGTGACCTGCTGGAGAACAATCAGTAGGAAGTGCTCTGAAATACTTTTCTCACTCTGGCAAACAAGATGACGCAGAGGCTCCAACATGGCGACACACAGCCGAGGTTTTCTGTCTCTAGTCGTGACCTAAAAAACCTGATGTCCTGAGCGTTTCTCTTTTTTTTTTTCAATTTGGGAATTAGCTGAGCTCTCTTTGCCCAAATGCCATTCATTCAGTCTCTGTGTGAAACCTACGGAGGACTGAGAAGTGTTAGAAGTGCGCTCCAGGAAAGTGATCCACTTATTTATAGACCTTTAATTAGACTGGCTCTCTGGAGGTTTTAGCAGGCAAATGATGAAATCTCTGCTTCTTTCTGTGTATCTCTTCTGTCCGCCTTCCCTCCTCCTCCTCCACCTCCTCCTCCTGCCCCAGCAGCCCTGTATCAGTGCTCTATCCCTCACTGGCCCCCTTCACCACCACACCCTGCACTAAGTTATGATGCAGTTCATGGGTAGCGTATGTTGCCCTACATTGCCACTGGGGCTCCACCACAGGTTTACACTTGAGCTCAGAGCTCATTGTGGATTAAACATCAGCTGAACGGTAAGTTTACTCTCTCTGCATGATGCATTGTGGTGTTACATTGCAGCCCTGCTTTTGTTTTACACTTTTGTGAATTTATAATCTCGCTCTGCTGCTCTGTGGTTATTCCTGTTTGAAATGTGGAAACTGATTACAGCTTATTAAATTTCTCTTCCTGAAGTGTGTGTGTGTGCTGTGTGTTGGGTTTCTCATTGTCCCTCGCTCTGGAGTTACTCAACAGGTCTGGCTTGTTTTGGTAGAAGGGATTGCGCAATCGAGCGCCGGAGCAGGGCTGCGCTACTGAGCCTCTCACAAGAAGAAGTGTTGTTATGAAACTGTTTACTAGGTACTGCTTGTGCATCGAAATGTAATTTATGATCAGATTAACTGTGGAATAAAGCGCATACTTGCAGCTGCGTTGCATGTTTTACACAAATTGACCTGTTTGGCATTAATGTCCAGAATCAGGGCTGCCAACAGGATATTTTACTTTGACGCACTTTGTTGAGTCCATTTATTGGACAACGCTTTGTTCTCCCCGGTGCAAGAGGAGAAATGATAGGGTGTATTAAATACCCCTGTGCATGAAGCATTGGCAGAATGCTGCTAGTATGCGCGTGTGTGTCCTCAAGGTTTAACATGTGTGATGAAAAGCTTTTGTTTGGCCTGAGAAAGCCCAGAGCAGCTCTCCAAATGCAGCCTAATTGTCCGGGAATATTTTTATTTCCCCCTGAGTGACACTTAAGTTGCACGAAACCGGACTGCAAAGTTCTCACAGCCTCATTGTTCAGTGATCTCGATGTGTGTCTTCCAGGATGAGACTTAACACCCGAACATGCTTCACCTTCCATGTTTATGGAGGTCCTGCTGCAAGCGGTTACTGGAAATGTCACTGCTACCGGAGGAGTGATCTTAAGCTAATGGGAGAAATAAACATTTCCTCGCAAATCACACTGAACTGGTTTTAAAGAGGCGCTGCAGTGACATCAGAGTGTGAATGCATGGAGGCAGCAACCAGAGGCCCAAACCCAGGGCACAGGATAGAGGGATTAGGCTCAGAGTGTGTGTCTGCGTGAGGAACTGACAATTCCACCAGATGGTGAGCTGCATACCTCAGTGTCAGAGTCCCCATCTCACTGCTCACTGACAGATTCCTGAGGCTCTGTAGTGAGACGCTCACATGGCTGCAGGCGTGTGCATGAAGGTGTGCAGACCTCCTGTGAGCTACTGTCACGAGAAAGCACATTATTTAAACATATCACCATTCCCTCCTCTTGATCACTGAGACAAAAAATGACTCCTACAAGACTGCACACACGGAAGAATATATATAAAACTTGCATGTCCCAGTATCAGCGCTGTTGCCACTTAAAGCACTCATTAGGTCCTGCACAGAGCCGATTGGGTTACCAGTAATCTGTAGGATCCAGCAGAAGGATAACGCCGGCCGGTCAGCTGCCGTGGAACAGACATGTTTCAGAGTGTAGAGTGTCTGAGGGCGCTGTGTGTTGTTGCTTGTGAGTCTGTGTTTGTTTTGGAGCGGTGTCGGTGTCAGATGTGGCGAGCGGTCGGCGTGATGCGGTGCTGAAGGCCCGTCTCTTCTCTCAGCAGGACCCAGCCGAACCCTGACCCAGGTGAACAACATGGCAGAGTGCGGAGCAGAAGGTGAACTACCTCAGAGGCGTCTCGGCGCGAAGGAGCAGCAAAACGGAGAGCTGACAGGTGAAAACAGAAGGCATCTAAAACACAGCAGGGCAACAGCACAAAGTCACGCTTAGAGAGTTTTTATTACACATGCACCAGTAATACAATGCTTTTTCTTTATTCCACAAACAAATTATTGTTTTTTTTTACATTTTCACACCTTGTTTAATTTTTGAATGATAAAAATTAAGGTCTGGCTTGTTAAAAATGAATTTTTCTTTTATCTGCACAGGTTTCCTTTCATGCATTAACCCCTCGTGTGTCTATTTGTGTGCTTGCGATGCCCACGCTGTGTTTTCTAGACTCAGAGCTCGCTGTGGAGGACAGGAAGCAGAGGGACAGGGAGGAGCGTGAAGCCCTGGTGTTGTGGAAGAAACCTCTGCTCACACTCCACTACTTCACTCTGGAGCTGCTCAGCACTCTGAAGGAGTGGATCTGCAGGTGAGGAGAACCAGAGGATGCAGACTTTCAGCACAATACTGACTTCTGTCTGCAGACCTGCACTCAAAGTCCATCCATCCTTAATCCTCAGAAGGGTCATGGGGGGCTGAAGTCTGACTCAGGGTGAAGGCAGGTTCACCTGGACAGGTAACCAGTCTATCACAGGGCTACACTTAGAGACAGACAACCAAGCACACTCACATTCACACCTACGGACAATTTACAATCACCAATTAACCTCAGCATGTTTCTGGACTGTGGGAGGAAGCCGGAGAGAACCCACGCTGCACGGGGAGAACATGGAGACTCCACGCAGGAAGATCCCGGTTCGCGTCCCGGTGCCCCCACCGACCTTCTTGCTGCGAGGCCACAGTGCTAACCACTGAACCACCCTGCAGCCCTGCACTCAAAGTGTTTCTTTTATTTCCTATTTGACCAGTGGCATCATAGATGAATAGTTTTGATCAGCATGAGAGTAGAGACAGACCCATAGATTGGGCTGATTAATTGTCATTTTGAGAAAATCTGCAATTAATTGGCTGATTAATTCGGCTGAGGGCTGTTTACAGAAGGCCTGTGAACAAAACATGACTGCAGCGTGTGCAGTGGAGGTGGCCTTGTCAGGCTAACATCCCCCCTTGCATCAGTTTCTTAACACTCTGCTCGGAAACGGTGGGAAATACTGGATGTAAAGTTAAATGAGAGAAAACAAAGAAAACTTAAATTCCAAGATTTAATGCTCAGCATACAGACGGGTGACAGATTCCAGGATACAAAACCGCCCAGTATCTTAGTGAAGTGTTGGGCCACTGTGTGCCATCAGAACAGGTCCTGGAAACATAAAGATATTCCTTCATTTAGTGTTGTGATGGTGGTGGTGGTGGTGGAGAGCGCTGCCCAGTCCCTCGGCTGATCTCCCACCAGGTGTCCAGCTGCCATAACATGTGATTCACGTGACCTTCTGTGATACTGTCGTCCTGGAAGGGACCACCTCCATCAGGACAGACATGTCTCATCGTAGAATAAAGGAGGTCACTCAGAAAATCTTTGAAATGATTTACAGTGAGCAGCCTTCCCTTTAAAAAGAGCAAGTGAACCAAAACTGAGCCAGCAGAACCCTCCTCAGCCCAACAGAGCTCCTGGATCTGCTCACTGCAGGGCTCACAAGGTTCAGACATCTCCTTTATTTGCCATACGATAAGGTTGATGGGAGCTGTGATCTAGCGAACGTGCAACCAGCTGAAGTAGCCTAAAAGCCTCGACTCATAAAACATTTATCCCACTTGTCAGGATGGCAAGCGAGTGACACTGCAAGCCTTAGATCACGCAAAACTTCTTCTTATAAGTGTTCTACCTGTTAGGCATCCCTCTGCTGTGATCATGACTGGGCGTAACTGTTAGCTGCTAACCGCCAACAACAACCGTTATCAGCATCACTATCAGCCATCGACTGCAAGCTTTCACAATAATCAGCCACTGATTAACCCATAACAGCTGCTGCTACTCCTGAGTTTACAGTTAAAACCACACTGATGTTTGCACGAAAACTATTTAACGAGCAGCTGAAACAAACAGGAATCTTTGGGCTTTTTCTGCACGTGATGCACGAGCTGCTCGAGCTCTCTGATGCTGAAGCTTGCTGTGGGTTTAGACATGAGAGGACGGCATATACATGATGACTTCAGCGTGCATTATTTACGTGCTGAGGTGGCTGAGCAGTATTTTTATGTCCGTTTTATTTATAATGGTGGCGTCTCACATACTCAGACAGATGATGTAAAACCCAGAACGCTCTCCACAGCCACACAACACGACCCAAACAGATAAGAGGCGACCTTGATGGTCTCAGCGCTTATCCGCCCAGTAGGCCTTCTCCCTCCCAGTTTGGTCTTCAATCAGAATCCTTTAACGGAGCACAATGAAACATCACAGGAACTGTTGATCATTTTCGTTCCTCATTACGCCTCCTGCTTACTGCTGACAGAACTGATAATGTCTTTCCGCCTCACGGACTAGCGCCACCTCGCCCGCAGAGCAACACCAACTGAACGGGCTACGTCACAGTTTGCCTTGATGGCAAACTCCCCCGCTCTACGCAACATCCCCTTTCCACACCTCGTAGTCTGTGTTGACTCCGAGGGCCCAGAAGAAGGTCACGGTGTACTCTCAGGGGGGCCTTTGTGGTTAAGCGTGTCAGGACAACGTGTTTATTTTCTAAACTACAAGAGGAAGTGGTGAGCCGCAAGCACCACGAGCAGTGTTCTGACTGAGAGGAGCTGCTGTTCACCGACACCCAGAACACATGCTGCTCTAACTGCTGCAGGGCCACAGCCGACATACATGCGCACACGCTACAGCTTCCACTGCAGGCGCTCTGACAGATTCGTCCTGATTGCTGTTGGAAGCGGTTTGTAATTCACAGCATATGCACACTCAGAGCACCGTAGCGTGGTTCACGTGTAAATGGATCGGGAAGCAACAGGAGGATCTGGAAAGAGATGTATGTGGGATTGCTCTTTGTAAGAAACCATCTTGGTCAAATTAATGCTAATTAGTGATAAAATGTGAAGCTGTTGCTGAGGAAGATGGAAGCCATGCACGATGTTGTAGATAATTAACCTACTGGAGGCTTTTCTCAGCAGTAAACAGTAATAATGCATCATGCTGGTATGTAGACTCACCTAAATGTAAAGACCAAAAGCTGCTGCCTTTTGTTTTTGCTCCTGTACAGAGGTGGAGCCCAGAGGTGGCCCCGCCCAAACACTGAAGAGCTATGCATGCGCTTTAAGAACTGAGGTTACGTTCAGGAACTACGATTTCTGTGGTAGAACTTTTTTGCCATCCCGTTTCCCTGCAGCCCATATAGATGCATTTTCACAGCACAACCTTCCTTTATTCAAACACTAGAGCCACCCAAAACCCATATGTCCATACACTATAAAATGCAGGAAATAAGATTTAGCATGTGCCATCAAGATGTCCCGCAACAGCCGGTGGGATTGGACAGCTCACCAGCCAACACGCCTTTCTAGCCATTCTGACCGACAATCCTCAGGTCACCTATGTCACAGTGTCTTCATTCAGTTCAATTCACTTTTATTTGTATGGCGCAGTTTACGACAGATGTCATCTCAAAGTGTTTAACATAGTAAGGTGGAGACCTTATGGATTTAAACTTGTATCTTATCCCCGTATAGGGACGGCATAAGGGCCATTTATAGAAGACAAAAACAGACATGGAAGGCACAATCTGTTTAAAGTACAGTTACTACTAAGGTTACACAACCATATAACATGCTATATATGCAGTAACCTCTCAGCAAAACAGGCAGGTATGAATTTAAGCCAAACTTAAATTAAATCTTGCAGATGTAAACACCAATAGCGCACAAATGACAGCTCATTCCCACTACAGAGTAAAAGGAGCAATATTATAACAAGGTGCTGCATGTCCAGATTGGATGCAAACTGCACGACGACACACAGAAAGAAAACATATGTGATCCGGAGCACAGCCTGCATACAGCTTCAGTCTAACCAGAAGATGTGCCACTGATTATTTAAAGGTTTTATATTATTGTCACAAAGTCGAGTATAGACAGTAGAAAAAATGCATTTTAAAAAAAAAAGTGAAATGAAGTATGCATCTGTACATGTTTTCATTATTTTTTATAAGTGAGTATGGTTTCATTTTAATCTGTGGATTTAGTTGAAGCTCATGTACAGACTCTTAAAGACTGATGGGATGAAACCTGCTTTGAAGAGTTCTGGTTACAAAGTGCTGAACAACACGAGACCGACCCAGAACCTGCAGCTACAACCAAAGTCTGGATGGACACAATGTGATGCCTCACCTGGGCAGGTGTCCAGAGCAGAGCAACACCTGTGTGGTTCAACATGTAATGATCTTGTGAGCAGTTCAAAGGCAGAACTTTTGCAAATCAGCTGAGGGCTACATTACAGAGCTTATCGTACTGTGCAGGAGTATATGAGCTCTCATGTGTACTTCTTACAAAAGGTAAGAGTGACAGACCAAGACACAGTGGTTTGCCACACAGAAGAAAAAAAACAACTAGACAACAAACACAACAAAACAAAGCAACATGTTTAAACCTGATGTGAGTAATGATGTCAATCTGGCCACCTGTGTCAACCTGTCTGGCCCCACCTGTAGCCTCACACAGGAATCACTGCTCCACTGGCATAATTTAATGTGGCACAGGGGGACAAAAAGTCTCTTTAATTAACTCAAAGTAAATGAATTACCCTGAACTTGACTGGCTGACATGTGACTGTGGGAGCTCAAGGTTCTCATGTCTGCTGCCTGATTCATGTCCAGTCATCTCACCGGGCAGCGTTAGCAGCTGGAGACACTTACGCAGTAAGTTCAATTATAAGACACAGCAAAAACGTTTGAGACAATAGAGATTTATTTAAGGTCATTGCCGCTGAAAGCTAGCCAACTTTTAAAAAGTATTATCTTCCCCGCGAGGACAGCGTTAGCCAAAACATACGACGGCTAATAAGGTTAGCTTAACATCAAGGCTAGCGATCGCTAGCTAACGTTAGCTTCGCAAGTGAAAGTCTGTAAAAATTCGTGTGCTTATATTGGTGTGTGTGAGTGTGTAAAGTAGGCTGTTAGCGAAATTATAATAAAGAGCAAAAACGTTTCAGCGATAGAGACTTATCAAAGGTTAATTCCGCTAAAAGCTAGCCAACTTTTTATACGTATTTTCTGCCCCCGAGGAGAGAGTTACCCACAATACACAACGGCTAGTAAGGTTAGCTTAACGTCAAGTACTCGGAGGCTAGCGATAGCTAGCTACCGTTAGCTTAGCAAGTAAAAGTCTGTCAAAATTCGTGTGCATATGTTGGTGTGTGTTAGTGTGTAAAGTAGGCTGTTAGCTGAATTAGAGCAAGATATTATTATTATAATTTTTTATTTAAAGTTCCAGGGCTTACGTCTTTTATATTTTAGAATAGTGAACAAATTACTTTTCATTTACACATTAGCATAGTCTACCGCGAAAACAGTTAGCTTCGTCAGCTACATGTTTAAGTTTCTCTAATTCTACATGTTCAGTATTTGTTAACATTGTCAGAAAGGTTATGAATACACTTCATTTTAGAGGTTGTAGTGGCTGTTTTTTTTTTCATTTTTTTATTGATTCTTTAGAAAATACAATCAGAATGAAATAACATGTAAAGTACAAATACTGACAACACTGTTTGTAGTGGCTGGTGCTGGTGTACTCAGCTGCATTACAGTGAAACAGTTTGCCTCTTCCTTCTGTGTTAATGGTGTGAACGTAAACATAGACTGTATGGCAGAGCTGCTTTACTGGATTACATTGGACTGCACAGGTGTTCCTAATAAAGCTCTAGGTGAGTATATGTGCAAATATGGCCCACATCTGTTACCCAATTGAGAACATGCCGCTCCTATTAGTGAAAGCTGGTGAAGACTTTTAGTGGCTTGAGTGGTTTCCAGCAGATGTCTCTCTCCCCCAGAGTTGACATTCTTTTCTTCCACTAATACTTCCTCATGCATACTTCCAGTGATTGCTCATCTCTTTTTTTTTCTCTCTCTCTCTGCCTCCTCCTTCATATTTACCATTTTCTGTGTTCCTGTCAACTTTGCCCCCTCATCATGGTCGACCTTCATCCTCTTCTTCATCCAGGCTCTGGCAGCAGAGGCAGACGGTGGTGGGCCTGCTGATCCTGCTGATCCTCCTCTCCATCGCCTATCGCATTGAAGGCACACACCAGAAGGTGACTGAATATTGTCTTTCATAACACAATACTTCTTGAAGGCTGCGAAGGGTCGGCTGCTGGTTGTTAGGCTGACATTGTAGAAGTGATACCTGGTCTTTTAGGGACATACTTTATTATTAGATGTTTGTTTCTCTAGTGGGCACTCGCCTGATATTCATATTGTGTAAGTTTGATGATGCAGTGGCTCAGGAACTGGAGCAGGTGTCTATACAGTGAATTACAGGGTTGATGGTTTGATCTGCACCCAAGCAGGTGCCACATCGTAGGGGTTGACTGGCTGATTATTGCAATGTCAACAAAAAAAATCCTGCTAAAGTAAATTAATTTAAAAATGTGCTTGATTAACTTCAATTCAGCCACGACTGTTTCTCTGTAGTCGACGTTGACCAGCGTTCCACCAGCAGCACTATATGACTGTTAATGATCAGACACTGAACATAAACATGTAATGCATGTTACACACATGTAGGAGTCTGTATGCTCAACATTTTGCCACCAAGATGTTGCTGTATATTTACATACAGTGTGTGTTTACTGTATATTGAAGTACATCAGTTTCACATACAATCTATGGACCAACATGTCCGTCCTCTCCAGCTACAGAGGTGCAGCCCATTCAGCATTTATTCAGATCTTGCATGGAGGCGAGCATGATGAAGTTGCCTGTAGTGTGACTGTCACTTTGCTGTAGGATTTTGTAACCCGTTGCCATAAAACCACGTCGTTCGGTGTGTGTTCTGCGCAGAGACTCAGAAGTTGTGTAACCACTTCTCAGTAACTTCACGTAACAATCACCCGTCGTCTGGCACTGCACTTCCCAGCATGCTGCCAGTACACAGACGGGGAATATGTGCTGTTTTTGTTTTGCTGGGTTTCCTGGGAAATGGAGTCTTTTCCGTCAGAACCCCCCCACCCCACCCCTTATTCCTCAAAGCCCTCCACCCCCGTCCCCTCCCTCCCTCCCTCCCCTCCTTCCCGTAATCTACACACTCAGTGCTTCCTACTGAAAACAACCTGCCTCGGCTCAGGGGAGTGAGTGATAGATGGAGTGATAGTGGTGGATGAACAGGAGGAAGAGGAACACAGATAGAGAGATGTTGGCCTGCCTCCGTTGACTAGTTGTGTAAGAGCTGGCTGCCACCAAACACAATAATGGTGCTGTTCTTCTGTGTGTGCTGAACACTCCTACCCTACGGCTCTGTCCTCTAAACTCAACAACAACCTCTGTCTCTGAAGGTTCCTCTCTCTCGCTCTCTTCCTCTCGCTCTCTTTCTCCACCACTCACTTGGCCTCTCCCACCCTTTAAAGTGCCCTGTGTTTTGCACACTTTCACTCTCGTCCTACCTTCTTTCACTCTGCCTCTGTCCCTCCCTTCCTCGCGCTGTGCCCCCCCTCCCTGTTTTGCTCACACTCTGTGCATGTGTCTCTGCCATGTGGTTGACCGTCCCTCTCTCTGGCCTCTGCAGTATGTGCGCTACATGGAGAAGAAGACGCTGTGGTGCGCCTACTGGGTTGGCCTGGGCATCCTCTCCTCTGTGGGTCTCGGCACCGGCCTGCACACCTTCCTCCTCTACCTGGTAAGGCAGTGGTGTTGTTTTTTTTTTTTCTCCTGCTGTGACTCTTCTCAACAAGTTGCCGCCACTTCCACACTGCAGTTATTGACTTGCCCGTGCATGCTGATCACAGAGCTCAGACTAAACCACAGTGGATGATGGTGGTGGTGCAGTGACGCAGGTCTCAAAAGGCTGTGTTGATGCTGTTGTTAAGTTGTTGCTAGGGTTTTAATAAGAGCATTGTGAAAAGATTTCGGAGGCTCCGTGCATTTGCACTTGCACGCACGAGTGTGTTCGTGCGGGTTTGTGCGTGCGCGCATTTCAGAGCGGGGCGGAGATGAATAGGCGCTGTGGTAGCCGCACTGTTTTGACAGGCAGTCCAGGAACAATCGCACTCACTGACCCCTCTGACTGAGTGCACATGAGGATAAAAACACTCTCCCTCCCCCTCTCCCACTTCTTTCTCTTTCCTTTCTCCCCACTCTGCTACTCCCCACTGTGTCACTCACTCTCACTTTCTTTGACACTCCCTCCCCTTACTCACTTTTCTTTTTTTTTTTATGTCACTCCTCAGCGTACGCTCCCTGTTTTACTCCCCTTTCCTTCTTTCTGTCTGTGTTACCCCCCCTCCCCATCTCACTTCATCTCTAAGCGTTTTTTACTTGGTTTAGAACCCGGGGTGTCGGGTCTGTACTGCTGATCAGATCAGGGTCCCACAACATCTGCTTGTCTCCACTTCCCCGAGTCCATCTGCCATCAGGGAGTCCACCGTCACACTCGTGCCCAGTGGAGCTGAACTGGAAACTTTGAAGTGCGTGTCCTCCATTCTGCTGGTTTTAAAAGCCAAACTCTGACGCTCTGAAATGTAATTTGAGAGTTTTTTTTTCTCAGTGACCCAGCTCACTGAATCCTGGAGGCGTTCAGCGTAGGATGTCACCATCTAGTGGGCGCGGCCGCTACTGCAGGTTCTGGTGTCATCGGGTTCATGACAGACCTTGGTGCTCCTTGCTGGAGCTGCTGTTGTGCATTTTTTATAGAGGTTGACTGATATTGTTCCTGAGAGGCCGATACCGGAGCAGATATTTGGGGGTTTGATCCACTGATGGATGATTTATTGTAAATATACGTTCAAATAAATGTTCTATTTATTTGTTTATTTTAATTTTACCCCCTGACCTTGAACAAAGTCACACTTTTGTGTGTTTCCCACTAAATGGTCTCCTTGTAGGATGGAAATGCTTCATCTGAACACTGCAGGCTTGTACAGACCTGGACCTGCTGGTACCGATCCAGCCTCTCTGCACTAAACTCATATGAAACTGAATTCAATTTGAGGTCACATATGTAGATGAATCAAAATAAAAATGATGTTTCATTAACTATTACAGTAATTATAGGGATAATTACATGAATGTCTTCAGCTGGCTGGCGTTCAGACTTGAGCCTGTGTGGAGCCTAATATTGGCCCCAGTTATTAGTCTGACCATATTTGTGTATTTGTGTAAGAAACCCTGTCTAATCTCGTTACTGCTTCCTCTCTGTGAGCCTCAACCACAAGTAAGAAGCACAAAACTGACCTCAGAGAATTATAATTATACGTCATATTTTCTGTAGAAGCCCTGTTTAAAAGGATCTATTTAGATTCCTATGTGATTTTGTAGATTTGTGGGTCTTGACAAGATATTTCAGATTTCTGACAGTAAAAGGAGTTTAAGAATTTATGTGGTGAGTGAACACTGGAGAATGGTGGCAGACATGTTGTCCTGTTTTTGTAGGAACTAGGACTGGGTCAGTGATTGTAACTGGGTCAAACAAGTTCAGAACAGTCGCTAAGATGTCTCGACAAACTTGTAAGTCCAACGCTTGCAGCCTGACCTCTCTGGGGCTGTTTTCCAAGCTGCTCATGAGACTCAATGATGGTAGATATCAGAACTTTAGAAGTCCAGACATCGATTCACACCTGTGTCAACATTTGGGAAGAACACCAGCATGATTACACTTTAAAGCTGGAGTATGCAACTCTGATCCAGTTCTTCTATTGTCACATTCATTGAGTATCTCCTTATCCTCTGCTGGCTGCCCACTAAAAACCGACAGTCATCCTTCAGAATCACAGACTAAGTGCACCACTAGAGACGTACACCAGGGCTTCAGTGTCTCTAGAGGTTTGTAGTTTGATGTAGTAACACTTGCATTTTCCTCATCGTACCGGATTATGAGAAGCTGAGAAGACCTGAGAGCAGAACCTGTAGAATAAGCTAATTTATTGATCAGCTGACCAACAGAAAATCAGTTGCAGTTGGGCCATTTTTT